GGTGTGGTGTGGTGTGGTGTGGTGTGGTGTGGTGTGGTGTGGTGTGGTGTGGTGTGGTGTTTCTAATGAAAGAACCTTTCTTGTTCAGACCTACCAGGTTCCTGCAAATGGAGAATGATCTAATACAAGACCCAAAGAAGCAACAGCCCACCAACTTACGAACGAATTATCTCACATGAAGATTGTTTTTCATATATAAATGGCTTTAATTGTCAAGATAAAATTGACATCGTGCCGATGCTTCACAAAAAGTAGTTTAGAGAGGTTCATTTTCAAAATCTCTAAGGTAGGGAGAGACCAACGGTAAGATGTAAGCATAGTACAAAAACATCGTAGTATGGCACCACTATAAGCAACAGGGTCAACCTACAAACTACGGGCTATGATAAAAGGGTAAATTATACACCGTGAAAAGATGAAAACATTTACTGACGTTTCGAACGCTAGTCCTTCATCGGGGCGTTCGAAAACGTCAGCAAGTTTTTTCATCTTTTCACGGTGTATAATTTACCCTTTTATCATTACTGTTTTATTAGAAACACCGACGCAGCTAACACTAGTTTTTAGCTAGTTATCTCTACTTTCCAGTTAATTACCTTTAATAAGGGATTAGTGTATATAATGCATAAACGTAGCAAAAGGAACTAGTTGGGAACGTGAAAACCTAACGAGAACCATGCTTTGCGGTAATATAATGATGTTACATGCTAACCAAGAATAAATCAGCGATGTTGGTGTACACATAACAAGAGAAGCTAACGAGAAATCTTTGGTTAACGGTACACCAACATGATGGTGATGATGTCACATGCTAACCAAGAATAGAGTCATGACAGCTATGTTGGTGTACATAACAAGAGAAGCTAACGAGAAATAGGAATATCTAATATATTCTATGTATTGATCTATAGAGAGCAGACAGACACATATATACGCGGGTACGTTGCATCATTATTGTTCATTTTCAGAACGAATTTTTTTAGTTTCTAACCACAAAATAAATGTTAGAAAGTGGTTTGATTTAACCCGTGAAATAGTAAGTTAACAGTTCCCTGCGCCATCTTGAAAGGCATCCGTGCCTCTACATCGAAGCGAGACGAACGGTAAGCTCGCAATGATAGACACATTGAAATAATTGATGAAGGGGTTAAAAAACGTCTCTGTCATGGAGCTCACCGTTCGTTTCGCTTCGATGCAAAGGCACCGCTACCTTTCAAGATGGCGCAGGGAACTGTGAAAGGGACTATTTATCATTTTTCGTTCACCAGCGTAATTCTCGTTTCATTGGTTAAGTAAAATTACTCTATCGAAAATGTAATTCAGTAGTACTAGTCTAGAAATTACTGCGCAGGCGTAGAATAGAAACTTATAAAATAGCATAATTATAATACCCTGACCGTACGCATGTAAGATAAACTCGCTTAAATTCCCGAGCATGTCCAGTAAATCTACTATTTGGCTATACGCCGTTTTCTCAAGGTTGCGTACGCATCCAATCTTGACGGGCCAGAAAACTGAGAAACGCACATTCAGTAAAATCATCTTGAGAAGTCAGTTTTATATTTAAAGAGGAGAATAATCAATTTTATGAATTGTTATCAAAATATCTCATAAAAAATTATGACTATTCTTATTAAGCTCCTGTTCTTGTATCGTGGACGCGTCACGTTCCTTAAGTTTGGATAAGGAAAAGGTCTATTCATTATTTCTTAAGCACAAAGGCTTTCTGTTTTATTTAAACGGAGCCTTTATGCATAGATGTCCTAGTAAATTTACCTGTGTCTGCGGCCTTGTGCAGTATACTATGCATAGCATTCTTTGGAACTGTCAGAATTTTTACTTCTTTAATATATTATTAGTAATTAAACATCAAAGATGAAATATGTATGGTAGTTTTTACGGTAAAATAAATTTAAGATATTGTCTAGACTTGGAGTGTTTTTCATTGGTCTCCGAATAGGGAAACATTCCTATACGTTCATCCAATTCACTTCAGCATAAACTTAAAACTTTAATATGTTACGAACCAAAAATGTTAACAAGAAATGAAAAACGACATTTTTAGTGCAAAGTACTTTAACGTGTGTTTACATAGTAAAAATTGTTGAAGACATAAAAATTCAATCGTCGTCCCACGCTTTACGTTTATCAAATCTAATTTAGGTACAGACTCGTACCCAGTCGCTTCTCTTCTCTTATTGACCTCACGCTGTGGTTGATAGAAGAATGTTAGTTCGCGGTGCATCAAGGGATGGAAAGAAGGAAGGAAGACAAAAGCGAAGCATCATGGATACGATATTGACGGAACTCGTTTTGATAGTTTTCATAGTTTTCATAGAGGATCTTGCTGTTAAGCCAGAATAATTCAAGTCATCCAATGAACACCTCATTCGTGTTATTCCTTTGTTCAGTAAATATATATTCGTCCAAACATATTTTTAATCTTTTCCAGCATTCTTCAGTCATGATTCACAGTACATTAAAAATAAGTGATCTTGTGGGAAAATATTTCACCATCATGATTTGTAACTGAATGAGTTAAAGAAGAAATTCTGGCGTTCAAAATTCCTATGTACTTTTGTTGATCAACTCTTTGCCAATCAATATATTTTCTAAGCGCCAATACGCCATTATTTATATTCAGTCTCCCAAATGGTTCAGAACTGCTTCTGTCATGTCGCAGTCGTTTTGGTAACCAAGCAGGAATAGAATAAATATGTCAAACCATATTTACACAACTAGAACCTAAAACTAACACGGCTATTCACGCCAAAAAAGCGTATGACTTAACTATCTCATCGTGTTATTTTTTGTTTCGTCATTAAAACAGCAAATTAGAGGCATCCTGTTCCGGTTTCTGGTTTGTTTGTGGGTACCTTGGTCACCGTTCACGAGAAATCGATCTGGGCTAGCTCAAATTTCTTTTAAATACAAAGCAGATCAAGTTACAGTTTTGCCATTGTACTTCGCTCGGCATAAACTCTTGAGGTCAGTACTTTACGAATAATCGCCTGGAAAAGAGAGCAATTCTTCGTAAAAAAGGTACGATTTAATGCATAAGGAAGATATATATTGGCATTTCATCGACGTTAGAGGATTTGGTAATGAGTAAAGTGAGTACAAAAGAAGGTAGATTTAGAATTATGTTCGTATGTAGATTTATATCGTTCGAGATCTTACACGGTAAACAAAAGTTAGTCATCGAAAGTCCGACTCTCGGGCTCCTCGTATAATACTTGCAAATCCTTCTGAAGCGAAGAAACTTATGTTTATTTCTTTATAACTGTGTGTGTATTATTTGTTATTCATCTAGCACTTCTAATTTGACACCATTGCTCTCTTCATCGACCGACAGAATGCACGGAAACGTAGTTCTTTGCCTTGCGACGTTATTCCTTGTTTTTGAGGCCATTTCTTCTACAAATAATACCACCACCATCCCCAGTAAGTATCAATTATCAAATTTCATTACATTATTTAGAAGTCCTGTAATTTTTGTGCCATAGCTTTTTGTATTTTACTGTAATACACGGTCTAAAATGTTTATATAAATGTGTTTCAATCTTTCAATCATGGCGTGACAAGCAAACATTGTGCATGCAGAATTCAGTTTTCCTAATTTAAGAAACATTTCCTTACATCGAACTCATTCAAGGTCACAGCTTGTCAAATCAAACGCTATTCTCAATGCAGCTGCTTCTCCTTCATGCATTTTGTTCTACCTCATTTGTTTTCATGGAGATTTATTCTTAATATTGATGCTGCTTGTAAGAATACATAGCCCTAAACAAACAGCGAAATTTTCCATATCAGACATCACTTTCCCGATATCAGAATCTTTATTGTAACGTCATTCTTAAATATTCTATAGCTTGGTATTGTTTTTCTCGTTAAATTTCAATAAAATTTCCGGGTATTATGTGTTTTGAAAAGAAATCAAAATTATAGCCAGATTAGTTTTGAGAGAAGAGATTGACAGACAAAATAATCTTATTTGGGTGACGTCCTGTTTGAAGTCAAATCAAACACGAAACGTGTTCGTTACCAAGCAATGGGACAGTCTATGGTCGTTTATGTCACGGTGTTACAAAAGATTCGAAACAAAGAGAATTGTTGCTAACGTTATTAATTCGTACATAGTTACTATTACATTGACTTTGTAAAGAACACACATTTCAGGGGTGGCATTTTAATTCTTTTAATAGGCCCTTTCACAGTTCCCTGCGCCATCTTGAAAGGTAGTCGTGTCTTTGCATGACAGCGAGACAAGCAGTGAGCTCGCAATGATAAAGACATGTGAATGATTGTCCAGGGTGTTAAAAAAAGTCTTTATCATTGCAAGCTCACGGTTCATCTTGCTGCGATGCAAAGGCACGGCTACCTTTCAAGATGGCGCAGGGAACTGTGAA